TTTCCCTAGTCTCTACCACCATGCATGGCACATAGTAGGTCTGTGATAAATTTTTTTAGAAACAAACTGAAGAACTATGGGGCCTATTGCGGGGAAATTGGCATCATTAACCATTTCTTAACATTTAAGAAATGGTGACTTAAGGGCCAGCCCATGGGCTGATGATGGGAGGAGCCGGATTCCACATTGCCTATTGTGCAGTTCAAATCTCAGATCCCGGAGCATGAGAAACATGCCAAGAGCATGTGCATGCATGCCCAAAGTCTCAACAGGGTGGATAAAGGGGGAAGGGGTTGCAGCATGACCATGCCTCACTGGGTGTTATTAGGGGTGCTTTCCCTTCCCTCTTTCTCTCTCTAGCAAGTATATGCACCCTCTGGAAAATTAAATAAATAAATAAATAAATAAAAGCGATAGTGACTTCAAATACTGTTTGTAGAGGCCAGCAAGTGGCACGGTAGTTAAGGCACTAGACTCCTGCATGGCCTACGTGGTTCAGGTACTGGACCTGGCAGCTTGAAAATCGTGCCAGGTACATGTATGTGCATGTCTTAAATCCCAGGAGAATGAAGGAGGAATTGTGGTGTGGCCACCCCTTCTGGGGGGGGAGGTGTGTGACTTCTCACTTTCTATCTTTCTGTCTCTCTCTCCCAGCAAGCACACACACCCTATGGCAAAAACCTGTTAAAAAAACATTTTTTGTAGTGGATAGAGGGAGGTAACTATGAGTAATCAGCCATATAAATATATTTTTATAAACTTAACAGCCTGAAAATCTGGCTTTTAGCATTTATATCAGATGTAGCAATACTTGAAAAAAAAATAGAGAATATAGTTGGCCTTATCATCCACTCCTATGACATCATTAATTCTAAATTTCCATATTTCAACATTTCTAAAATCGGAAGGCCTCATAAAATTGGTGATGTGCTTTGCTGATTAGTATACATCTTAATTATAATTGGCAGTGCTTTTTACTAAGGGGTAAGAAATAACAATGAAACAAAGGTGTATCTAATGATTGTTGATGGCTAAGTTATTTTTAGGTTTTTATTTTTGAGGTTTTTTCCCCCCACTATAGGACAATTGCATTCTCCAGAGAGAGAAAGAGAGAAAGTGAGAAATCACCCTCCAGAGGGATGGCCATGCCTCAGTCCTTTCTCCTCCATTCTCCTCTCGGGACTCTGGGCACACACACACACATACCTGGTATAATTTTGAAGCCACCAGGTTCAGGGTCTGAACCACACAGTCGGCCATGTAGGATCCAGCCATCTTAACCTCCATGCCGCCTGCTGGCCCAAAGGTTAAGTTTTGATGAGGCGCTACAAGACCACATTCAGTTTTATTTCATTTTAAAAAAAGTGGTAAGTGCCTACTGTGTGTCAGGGCCTAAGCTAGGTGCTTGGGTGGTCACTGTGCTGGCGTGAGATTTTATATCCCAATTTGGGGAGCATCCAAAGGCTGTGTCCCCTCCCTCTGGATTTGGGGGCAGTGGTGGCATGAGTGGGAGTTTGGGAAATGTGGCTGGAGCACATGGGCATGGGGGATAGGCAGGTCTAAATTTAAAATCCTGCTCTCCCTTCGCCGCCTTTGCGACCAAAGGACACATTCAGTTTTTTTGATTTCTCCTCTGTAAAATGAAAACAAGCCCTGCCTCAGAGTTGAGAGGATTCGACCAAATAATGTCAAGTCCCTGGCCCCGGCTGACGCTCTGTAAGTGCCCATTGTCAGAGCCATGCTGACGTGGCCACTGCTCCCAACACCTCTCATCTCTCACTCTACCTCTGCTTCCTCGCAGCCATGGAGCCTATCACCCAGGACAAGCGAGTCTCCCAGGGCCACAACGGAGACCTGTACTTCTCCAACGTGATGCTGCAGGACATGCAGACTGACTACAGCTGCAACGCCCGCTTCCACTTCACCCACACCATCCAGCAGAAGAACCCCTTCACCCTCAAGGTCCTCACCAGTAAGTGCAGGCCCCTGCCCGGGGCGAGGGGCCGGAAGAGGCAGCCTGCCGAGCCCAACAGCCCTGGGTACCTGAGTCTGGAGTAGACTCGCCTGTGAGGCTGCTCTAGGAACCCTTCCAGCCCGCTGACCCCGAGCCACTTCTGCCGCCCTCCAACAACACCTCATGATTCTGAAGCCTTAAGTTGAACTGGTCCTGCTCTCCGCCAATGCTTCTCTAGCTTTGGTGGGAGTCGGAGCTTGGCAGATACACCAGGGCCCAGGCTGTGCTCTGGGCCGTGCTCTGGGCCTCTTCGGTCTCTGGTAGCTCCCCGTGCAATTCCGACGCACAGCAGACTTGGAGAACCACTGCCTCAGTGGTCATCTGACACCCTCTCCTACACTCAGCCTGGGCATTTCTCATCCATCTAGTCACTGCTTGGTTACCGGAATGTTCTGAAAAAAGCCACAGCGTACAAGGTCGAGATGAGTGGGCACACAGGAAGAGACGTGTATGAGGCCTTAATGTCCCTGCTGAGCGGTGTGGGGTTGGTGCCTGTAAGCTGCAGGCTCGTGTGTGAGTTTACTTGTGGTAGCTGTAGCTCCCTGATAGTGTTGGCTGGTACTAAAGCAAATCAGCATTTCCTGACCCATCATGGGCTCGCAGCCGTTCAGAGGAGAGAGAGAAGCTAAGCAAGAAGCACCTTTCTTGGCGGGGAATGAGCCAGCCTGAAGCTTTGGCTAAAGTCTTCAGCCCACTCGGGATGTTAAGGGTTGCTTCTGTGGGCTCACACCGCATGTCTGGAATGTGCCTCCGGAAGAGACCTTAGTCTGCCTGAGTGCTATGCAGGGCCTTTTCCATACGGCAGCGGGGATGTTGGGGAGCCCAGGCAAAGACCACTGTGTGAGTGCTGGCAGTTTCCACAGGCTTCCTTGGCTTCCCAAAGCCCTCACAGAGGTGACGACGATGCCCTCTGGGTGACTGTGGGCAGGCTTGTGTGAAGCTTGGCTGAGCCCCCTTCTCCTAAAGGACAAGTGGGGTGCGGACCCCTTGCTGTTCTCGTCTCCCTCTTGACTGGAGGGTCAGGAGGTGCCCAGGGTCTGCACAACCTCCCACTCCTCCCACCACAGCAGAAGGTGGAGCTGTAGGAAGTGGTTCCCTTTCTCCTGCCTTTCCCCCCTCCTCTTTTCTTTCCTCCATTTTCTTTCTTTTCACTTCCTGTTTCCCCTCCTGCCTTCTTTCTTCTCGCTTTGTTGAGTCCTCTGCCTTTCTTTAAGCCCTGTTGGCCCTTCTCACTGTCTCGTGCCCCTGTGGTGTCCCCCCCGCTCTGTTCCGAGAGTGCTGAGAGCCCAGGGAGGTGACTGAGCCTGTGCCCCGGCAGCAAGCTCCATGTGTCCCTGGCAGAGTGACCCGGCTCCAGTCTGCTCGCTCCCCCACCCTGGCTGCCTATTCCCGATCCAGGCCCAGGGAGGCCTGCTGGAGAAGAAAGTTGGTTTGTCTGTGGTGTCTCCTCAGTGCATGGCGGGGTGACGGCCTGCCAGCTGGCTGAAGTGGGGAGGACAGTGTGGTCCGCCCAAGACCTCGGATTGGCCTCCGTAGCCAGGACAGGGCTGGCAGCCCTGGGCAGTGGGAGGCACAGGGCGTCAGGAGCAAGAGCCTCACTGAGCTGACCTTGTGCAGCCTTCAGTGTTGTCACCTATAGTCATCCCGCTGCTTCAAAGACTGAGACAGGTGACCTCTGCTGTCCTGGGCAGAGGCTGTCACTGTCACGAGGTGTGGGGCAGAGGCTAAGTGGAGGGCCTTCCTCCATAGAATTAAGTATTTAGAGATTTCAACCTTTAGAAATTGGACTTTCCAGAAACATCCTTTTTCTACCAGAGGATGTAAGAGACGTGGATTTCTGCTTCATTTCTAGGTCCCCTCTTCCATTGAAAAGTCTCCAATGACCAGAAACTCTGCAGGTGATTGGACAGAAACCCGCCAGCTCCCTGCAGTTCTCCCAGGGGCAGCTTTGACTGGGAGCAGGTTCTGGGCATCTGAGCCAGCTCGGAATTGGGCCCAGTTGCTAAAAATAGCTCAGCTATGCCCTCTCTACTCCCCTGCCTGGAAAGGACACTGGCTTTCTGTTGTGCCTTCAGAACCAGGTCTGGGGCCAGGAGGCAGAACGGTCAGGTGGGGCCAGCTTCAGAGGCCCTGTCCTCACCAGGTGCTCCTGTCGCACTCTGCCCATTTGGGAAGAAATACATGCGACTGCACCCAGGTGTTTTATTACCTGCATTAAAGGAAAAGGAGAAAGGAATAAAATGCAGAGTACGGGACAGTCTGAAGTCCTTTCTAAACCTGATTGGGATGCAGCGAAAGAGAAACAGCTATGTGGCTAATGAAGGTGCACCTGCCTCACCTTGCCCACGCGGGATGGAACCAGGCCCTCCTGGTGCCTCCGGCAACAGTAAGAGGCAGCTGTGGTGGGAGAGGATGGTTCTCCCTGCTCCCTTCTTTTTTCTTTTTAATTTGCTAGAGGGTGCATGCGCTCACTGGAGAGAGAGAGAGAGAGAGGAGAGAGAAAGCACTGCCCGGGGGAGAGTCACACCACAATCCCTTCTCCATTTCTCCGTTTTGGATTTTGAGCACATGCACATATGCCGGGTGTATTTTTCAAGCCACTGGGTCTGGGACTCAAACTGTATAGTTGGTCATGTAGGATCCAGCCACCTTAACCACCACACTCCTGACTTGTCCATGCCCCTCCTTCTTCCAATGTCTATGTGACAGTCTTAGAGGGCTCAGATGGATGGTCTCTCTGAGTGTGCCCCAGAATCCACACCTGTGATGCTGGTTCTGAGTGTGGGTCCCTTCTTTGGAAAAAGATAGGCTCCATTTCACATGGTGGCATGGGGCGGGAAAGAAGAGTCCTTTCATCTGTGCATGTCACCATGCTCCCCCAAGAGAGCAACAGGACGCCCCCTCCCGAGCCCGGCTGTAGCCCCACCTGTCCCAGGCCACCTTGCTGCTACATCCCGTGAGGATTAGTGCCCCCCACCTGAACTCCAGACATACCCACGCTGGCTTCCCCACGGGCTGCAGCCTTAACCACAAACTATCTTAAGAGATAGCTCTGAGTAATGAGAATCTTCCTGCCTGCTGTTAAAAGGATTTGGGATGCAATGCAGTGCCCATCCCAGGCAAGAACTCACATGCCCTCTTGCAATTAGTTGTAACAGGACCTGATCTGTCTTCAAATATGCAAATGTTTTGGCACCGCACCTGTCCCTCTTGGGCAGTTGTACTGTGTTCTGGGCTTCTGGTGCTGTCTGCTTGGCTTCCGGTCAGCGGCACTACCCTCCCCCTTTGCTGGTACTGTCAAAACTGGACCCCAGTAGCTGGAAGGGTTTGGCGATAGTGAAAAGCTATTCAAGGGCATGGGCATGGTTATAGGTCCTATTCCAAAGTGCTTTTCTCAGCTAAGATGACATGTCCAAGGGTTCTAATCACCAGACGTTGGAACTGCAGCCACCGATCTCACTGTAAAAGACTTTCTCCCGATGTGAACCTCCAGCGGGTCAGCAGGCTCTCCCAGTCCCCGTATAAAACTCACAGCTTATACTTTCTTCTGTCCTAAGCTCCCTTTCTAAACCCTAAAGCCTGACCTTCAGCCAAGCTCTCCTGCCTCACTGGGCCACTCCCAGGCTCCTCTTGAAGAGGCCTATCTGTTAACAGAGATGCAGAGTGTATGTGTGTGTGTATGTGTGGGGGGGAGTACTTCAAAAAGTTCATGGAAATAGCATAGTATAAAAAATAATGTGTGGATTTTAATCATTATTTTTTGCTCCAAAATAAACTCAGATTTTAATTCCATTTTTTTTTCATGAACTTTTTTTAAGTCCCTGCGTGTGTCTCGCAAACTCTAGCAATGCCCACCTGGTTGCATGGGGGGTGCTTGTTGCTGGGCACAGCCAGGAGTTCTCTGTTGCACTCTGTCGACGACTCTTGACCTCCTCTCAACTTCTTCCCACCCCTGCAGCACAGTCTCTGCTCCGGGAGGAACTTGTTCTGTCCCCAGGGCTCACTGACACACCTTTCTCTTTAGCTGTCCCCAGGGCTGGCCTGAACCAGAGCCCTGGGCACTGAGGACTTTGATGAGTTGTTCTAAAGACTCCCGCAAGACACCACTACACCTGACCTCATTGGTCCGAAAATATAGTGGGACCAAGCAATTAAAGTTCAAGCCTCACGGGAACCAGCAGTTAGCGTAATGGCTATGTCGCTGGACTCCCACGTAGTCGACCGCGGTTCGTGTCCCGGACCCGGTGGCTTAAAACTCACGCCGGGCGCGTGTGCGTGCGTGCCCAAGATCCCGAGAAGAGAATGGAGGAGAAGGGATTGCGGCGTGACCATCCCCCCTGGGGGGTGATTTCTCGCTTTCTGTCTCTATGTCTCTTTCTGTCTGGCTGGCGAGCGCACGCACCCTACAGTGAAAATCTCTCAAAAAAAAAAGAATGTTCAAGCCTCACTTTGTTCATTTACAAAGGAACTTATTTTATCGTTGCCTTCTTTTGCAGGATTTAACCTTCTCTTCCCTTGTTGGGGCTGTTTTGTGTTGCTTGTTCTTCACCAAGCGTATTTCCTTCCCCGATATGCCAAGTCTTTCCTTTGCAACAGACCACTGGTGCTGTCCTCGGTTGTTTTGTGGCTTTGCATTTCTGTTTTTTCTCCCCCCCCCCGCCCCCCGTTTATGCCTCACGACTTCTCCATGGCCTCCTGTTTGCTTACCCTCTTTTGTTTATTGCAGACCACCCCTATAATGACTCGTCCTTAAGAAACCACCCTGACATGTACAGTGGTGAGTTGCGGCGGTAACCTTGGGAGTAACCTTGCCTATCTTAACCCCCGTTTGCCTAACTTGACTGATACCATGTCATTAACTCCTGCTGGGTGGCAGGTCTGACAGCTGGCCAGGCCAACATGACACCTCCCGCACGCTGTGCACCAGGATGAAGGTGGCCAGTGGGGAGTTGGAGGTGGCTCACATGGTTGTGTGCTCGCCTACAGAGAGCAAGCCTCCGGTTACCAGACTCTCAACCAGTTGTTCGGATCAGGGTCGGCTTTCAAAAGAGCTTCTTGGAGGTGTCAGCAGAAGCTTAGGAATCAGTGGATGGATGGAGAATATCCGAGAATAGTTAGGTTCCCACAGTGAGGAGTCTGCTTCCTAGGAGTCAAAGAACACAACTTTGTAGGGTAAGTTCCGTTAACTCCGTGGTGTCTGGATAGGAGCTGCGCACTGCCTAGTCTAGCCCTAGCTACTGAGTGCACCATTTTATGGCTAGACCCCTTGTCCCTTTATTTTATCTTTTAAAAGAATTAGTTTGTTTTCTTTATTATTATTATTTTAACTTGTTGTAGTCATCAGAGGAAGACAGAAAGAAAGAGAGAGAGAAAATGAGAAAGCAAGTTGCCAGGTCCAAGACTCATACCATGGTCAGCCACATGGGAGTCTAATGCCTCAACCACCATGTCACCTACTGGCCCCCAAGTCCCTTCAAAATCCATCTGGGACATAGACATGAGAGTCGGGCTCTGAGTTCTCTTTCCAGGTTACACGTAAATGAAGTTGGACCATCTATTGTACCCTCTCACCTGTGCCTCTGCTCTACTCTGTCATGCATGCAAACCCATGCCCACCTCTGCCCACCCTGGAACAATGACCACGAGTCTTATTTCTTAAGCATCGCACAACTGGTCGCTCCCTCTGATTACTAGGGTATTTGGCTATTTCCACACCTGAGTTAACCCCTCGCCATGGTTATAGAATTTCTTGTTTTCTTTGGGCAGTAAGAGGCATTATCATCCGCTGGTCCCAGCAAGGCAGCTGGCCTCTGTCATCAGTCATGCTGCAGAAGCTGAGGCTGCAGGTCCCCAAGGAGGTCGCTGTGGGCTCAGATAGATAGGAAGGGCCTGTGCTGTACTGTACCAATGTCAACAGCGATCAGCGTGTGGAGTGGGGGGTGGGGTGAGGGCACAAGAGTCAGAGAGAGAGAGGCTCTAACTTGGCACCAAGCAACCAGAACCACACGGAGACTCTGCCAAAGAGATTCACTGCCCGAGAAAGCAGGGACATTTGTTAGATTCTGGGCATGTTTGTTTTTAAGAAGAAGGGGCCCATCACTATTGTGAGCCACTGCGCACTGGGCAATACCTTTTCCTATACTGGATTCCCGGTGGGAAGTATTTCGAAACCCAGAGTATATCAAAACCAGAAAGCCCCTTAGACAGCATCTGGTCCAAGCGCCTAGCTTTCTATAAGATGCACCGTGGGCAGGAACGTATGTAGACTGTTGTTTGTCCACAGGGTCAGTTCGAGTCACTCTGGCCACTTACACCAGTTCGTTCATGACCAGTGGTTGGTATTGTTACAAGAGAGCGATTGGGAGGACTGAGAACTGGTCAGGGCCATGAAACCAAGCAGAGCTCCCGAGCGCTCACACGGAGATTGCGCTCTTGTCCTCTGTCCGGGCCGACCCAAGTATGAAGCGGCTGGGAAGGATCTAAAGGGAAAGCGAGGCCACATTAAACAAAGGAGGACTGGGCCTTTGCTTTCAAGAGGACAGCCTCTAGTGAAAAGGAAGGAGGGAGGGTAAGTTCTTCCCAGAGTGAGAGAACCTGGATGGAGGCGTCAGGGGAAAATGCCCGTCTCCAGCTGACTTAGGGCCATGACGTTTCCTCTGAAGCAGTAGGGCTGCCCCTTCCTTATGTTTTGCTCTGGTGATTTCTACAGTGGGCTGGTATCTTCTGAACTAGGTGCCCCCTGACATACCCTTGAGTGATGCTGGGCAAGTCTCAGAACTTTAATTTCTTGGTCTACCAAATGCATCCAGGACCTTCCTCTGAGGATTGTGGTGAGGATGAAACAGGATAACTCCATGCACATGGGCCTTAGCGGGGCGTGAGACGCAGCATCAGCGCTTGCTGCCTGTCACCCATCACTGGTTTAAAGAGGCTGGGTCAAGCACGCTTCTGAAATGGAGAGAACTTGAGAAGCCGGTGTGGAGGGAGGCAGGCACAATTAGAGGAGGGAAGTTCTACAGAGAGGAAAATATTAAGGCTGACTAGAGACCCCAAAGCCGCTCAGAGCCTCAGCTATGCTGACAACTGGGTAAGGGATGGCTTCAATGGCTGCAGGCAGGATGGACGTTGGACTTAAGGAAAAATCTCCTGGCCATGAAAGGTGTCCACTGTTACTAGACAAAGCATTGGTCTCATCTTCCGGGGTTTGAGCAGCCGCCGTTCCTGGGGCAGAGAGGTAGAGATGCCAGGAGCCCAGCCCCGTGCTGCTTCGGTTCTCAGTTCTGATCATTAAAAGCAGCAAAGTGGTCTAGGTGTAGGATCGACTGGCCCTCAAAGCAGTTTTTGGCACAGGCGCTCAGATACACCCGAAGCATGGAACTCAAGTCCCGCTAACACGCAGCACGTAACAGAGGAGAGCCAGTCAGGCTGCTGGCAATCTTACTGTCTTCCAGCAGGAGGCGACCAAGAAGCACTTATTTTTTTCCTTTTCTTTTTTTTTTTTTAAGAGGTTTTTGCCTTATGGCACGTGCACTCGCTGGAGAAAGAGAGACAGAGACAATGAGAGAGAAACTGCGAAATCACCCTCCAAAGGGGATGGCCACACCACAATCCCTTCTTCTCTATTCTCCCAAGATCTTGGACACACATGCCTGGCGTGAGTTTCAAGCCACCACGTCCTGGACTCAAATCGCCTTCGACCATGTGGGAATCCAGTGACATAACTGCTATATCATCTGCTGGCCCCCAAGAAGCATTTTTCACTGGCCCTTGAAAGCCAGTGTGGTTGAGGTGGTGTCATGTCCCCATGGCCTACCATATTCCCCTGGGACCCATGAGCCCACTCTCAGCTGCAGCAGGAGCGTTCAGGCCCTCCTTCGGCTGAAGGTCAGATGGGCCCATGTGGGAAGATTCTTCTGAAATCCACCAGAATGAACTTTAGCATCTAGACTCCAGGTTTGGGCAGGCGTTAGGTCAGATCCCACCCAGAAGATCAGAGAAAGTAACAGAAACATATGAGTGTTGGTAGGCTCTTGGGCATCCCTGTCTCCACGGTAAAAGAGTGTCCTGTGACATCCAGGAGAGACTGCTGGCTTCCACCGTTTAGAATTGAACACTGGAACCATGTTTGTCTCGGAGATTCTCCCTGCCAACTTCTCCAGGGAAGGGAATTAGGTACCTCCCTTGGAAAAATGGTTCCCAAAGCCATGGCTCATCCTTCCTAAATCTTCATATAAATGCCTCCTGCCACGATCAATCACATTTCTTTATAACCTCCCTTGGATCAGTCTTCTCCTCCTTAATGATGTCACTGCTTCAGGTTTCCCATGTCCCCAGCCCCAGGTGAGATGCCGCTGGAGCCTCTTAGGCCCTCCTCACTGCTTTTGCTCCAGCTCGGGTCTGAGTTTATTTGCTAGCCTCTGAGGAGAGATGGGATCTTAGCTGAGACCCTGCGACGGGAAAGCACAGGGGAAGAGTTTCTCTAGAGCAGCTCACGGAGACAGAAGTACCTTTCTCCTTCACACCTTTGGCCTTGAATTTGGGTTTCCTTTGGTTTGAGTAAGAAACCTATTTCCAAAGTTGAATGTCAGAGTAGGGGTGAGTAGAGTATCCATTTTTAGCCAAAGAGGCAGCATGGAGCAGGGGTGGGCGACAAGTCTGGGTTCCAGATGGTCTGGAGTCTAAAATAACCAGAGTGTGACCTCAGGCAAGTCTGTTGACTTCACTGAGCCTCAGTTTGCTCTGCTGAAATGGGGGTTCTCCTGTGAGGAGCGAACATGACGGTGATGTGGACAGAGCTACCAGCACAGTGCCACCCGATGAACGCTCACTGAGTGGTAGCCCTGGTTATTGTCTCTGAATTTTGGAATTGCTTTCCTTTTTTTTGTTTTTTTTTTTGTTTTTTTTTTTTCTTTTGCTATGGGGCACTGTGGGCTCACCAGAGAGAAACAATGAGAGGGAAAAATGAGAAATCACTCCCCACTGGAGATGGCCACACCGTAAGCCCTTTTCCTTCATTCCCCTCCCACGATTTTAAGCACACACACACTCACACCCGGTGTGATTTTCAAGCCTCCAGGTCGAGGACTCAGACTGAGGTCAGCCATGTGGGAGTCCAACACCTTAACCGCCAGACCACCTGCTAACCCCTGACCTTTTTTTTTTTTTTTTTTTTTAATAAATTTAGGCTTGTTCTAAATTTAGTAGCTTCTCTGTTAGGATAATTCTATGGTTGCTAGCCCACACCCTACAAATGCAATTTTGCTATAACCTTGTAGTCACAGCGACAGCGTATCAAGGCACCCACAGCGGGACTCTGCTAATTCTTCCCCACCCCATCCTTATTGTGTGCTGGTCATGCGTGGTTAGGGCGCTGCATGCTACAGTGTGAATTAAACATTCACAGCATTGCAAGCTGGGATCTGCAGACTTCCTCCCCGCACAGAAGAAGCGTGAGGACTCATCCACAGAGTCCCAGGGTTCCCAGCTCCTGCCAGATTCACCAGCCTGACACCAGCGCCTCCTACCCTGGAAACTCCTCCTCAAAGTGTCCTTGACCTCGCATTGTCTTTTGACTGCATTGGTGACTGCGTGACTGTGGGTGGGAGGAAGCTGCTGTTGCGGTCTGGCTTCCTTGATATTGAGAGCTGGATGCTACAGGAGCTATAGATATCGATGGTAACCAATTAACCACGTAATGGATTAACACCTGCAGTAGCCACGTCATATATGTGTGTATCGGCGGGACCGACAGCACATCTCCAGACAGAAATAACAACTGGGGTAAACTGTTGCCTTCTTTGTTCTCTTCTCCCCTTTGGTTCACTCATCACACAAGCATTTATGGAGCACTGGCTGGGTGCTCTGTGTCCTGCTGGCAACTACCTACCTCTGTCCATTTCCCTTCTTCCCATAACAAAAAGATGAAGTTGAAGCAAGCTCTATGAAATGCACTCCCCCAATGGCAAATGCTGAGCAGCTGAGCACCCCCAGGACGAGTGCCCCACTGGCCTAGCCAGGCACCAGTTCATGTAGCCAGTCCCTTTAGGAATCACCAGTGGCAGAGATAGAGTCCCCCAGCACCCCGTCCTTACTCCAGCGGCATCAGTTACATGCCAGGCCAGTGCTTGGCTCTCCCTCCAGCCGCGTCCTCTACTCTCGTGTGTCTTACTGAGTCTAAGACCCGTTAAGCCGACTGGGAGGTTCAGCTTATGTTTTTATTTTTTAATTCCTCTCCTTTACAATAATGTGCCTCCAGTTTCCCTTCTGCCTTGGGGTCTCTGGTGAAGAAATCCTTGTCCTCTTTTCCATCTTATCTGTTTCTAGAGAGCTGTATAAAGAGCTCTGGAGGAGAGGGAAGGCTCCCCCTCCTATGGTGGCCCCTTCCACAGGGAACCTGCAGCCCTGACACACCCACCTCCATGAGCTGCCTGGCTTTTAGAGCCTGCGCAGATTCCGCTGAGGCCAGCCCTGTAGCTGTTCCAGCCTGGCTGGATTGTAGTTCGCTCTCTCCATCTTAGCTGCCACTTTCCTCTCACCACCCGCACCCCAGCATCACACATGCAATTAACACCTTCCTCTCCCACCCCTTCCAAAGTCATTAGGAGGCAGAATGGACTTGGCCCCAGAGTGATTTCCTGTCATCTCTGCTCATTAATTCTCTCTGTGTCTTTGCTAAACCGTGAATAACTCTCCCTGCATCCCCAAGTGTTTATCTGGGGCTTTGTGGCTTTGTCCCAACTCCTTGTCTTCAGAGTGTCCCAAAGGGCAGGTGTCTGTCGTGCATCTCCAACTCCTGCCTTCTCTTTCTTGCACGTCCTGTCTGGGGAGGAAGGACTGCTGCCGACGAGACGGCCCGCCAGGTGGCCACACCCACACAAGATGCTCAGGGTGTAGGGGTGTAGAATTCTCCCTGCTCAGACCACCCCTCCCCATACAGGGAAGAGAGGTATCCCAAACCCCAAGGGAAGCTGGGCTCCTGTCGGCGGATCCTTTCAGAGCCGAGAGCTACACACATGTGTGCAGGTGGGGAGGAGCCCAGCTTCCTACCACCTCTCCCAGTGTCACCAGGCCCCGGGGTGGTCTTAGCTGGGAGGGTCGGGCAGGGAGGATGGTGACTTTTCTCTCAAGTCTGACCACTTCAGCCTGGCAGGGCCAGCCCTCTAGGCAGGAGACTCACGGGATCTTGTTCTGTCCTGTTTCAGCCAGGGGCGTTGCGGAGAGAACACCCAGCTTCATGTACCCCCAAGGTACGGCAAGCAGTCAGATGGTGCTGCGAGGCATGGACCTGCTGCTGGAGTGCATCGCCTCGGGGGTGTACGTACAGTGCGCATGCGCGGGCTAGGCCTTTTCCGCAGGGTGGGATGGGGGGGCTCCATCATGCCGTGTTCTCACCGTAGTGGGGCCGGCCGGTAGTGCTGCAGAAAGAGAAGCAATCAGCCCTAGTGAACAGAACTTTCCAATACGTAGGCCCCTCCACTCCATTTCGGCCATCTCTGTTTTTGGGAAATGACAAAGGGGAGGCCAGGTATCCCGTGTGCTTCAGTCTTAGGGCCCTTAACCAGGGTGCTCGCCGTCTCTGTGGCTGAGGGTCCTCCTTTGTGTAGCAAAGACAAGCTCTTAGAGGACATGCATCTTCCTGGGCCCAACCACACTTTTTTTTTTTTTTTTAAGTTTTTTTTGCTCTAGGGCCCATGTACTCACCAGAGACAGACGGAGAGAGGAAAAGTGAGAAAGTACCCCTTGGGGGATGGCCACGCTGAAATCTTTCTCCCTTCTCCTCTTGGGATTTTGGGAACGCATACACTCATGCCCAGCATGTTTTTCAAGCCGCCGAATCCAGAGCTCCAACCGTGGAGTCAGCCTTGTGGGATCCAGCTGCCCTAACCACCACACCACCAGCGGCTCCCCCCACCCCAGCAAGTACACGTGTATGGCTCCCGGTGTCCCAGGTTCGTGGAAGAAGAGAAGGGCCACGTGGAGTGATCAGTTCTTGTTTCCTGCTTGGTTCCCTCCTAGCCCGACCCCAGACATTGCCTGGTACAAGAAAGGCGGGGACCTCCCATCAGACAAGGCCAAGTTTGAGAACTTCAACAAGGCTCTGCGCATCACCAACGTCTCCGAGGAAGACTCCGGAGAGTATTTCTGCCTGGCCTCCAACAAGATGGGCAGCACCCGGCACACGATCTCGGTGAGAGTAAAGGGTACGTTGTGTGTATTTCTCATTATGAAATTTTGGCCACCCTGGGCACTGCGACCACCCTTCCTCAGGGTGAGCGGGGGGAGCCTCTGAGCAGCCCCCTGCCACAAGTGGTGTCCCCCTCCCATCTGTGAGAATGTGTGTGCACGCACGTGTGTGGGGGGTGGGGGTTAAGAGAAGGAGAGCCGCCCTGGCCATCACCCAACCCTCCCTGGCGCTCCCTGAGCAGGTGAATTTCTTCCCACGGCCTGCTGGGATCCCACCCAGGGCCTCTTCTCTCTTCCTGCATTGCTGTGCGTGGTGCACCACCTGAGCTCCGTGCCATCTTTGTACCTATGCATGGTGCTTGCGTCTTTTTTAAATGGGGCGTTGTCACGGCCACATCCATCCCCCAGAAGGAGAGCTGGCCTTCCTGGGCTGTTGTGGCAATAGAGCCTGACTCTCTGGGTCCCGGCCTTGTGTGCTGTGTGGCTCGTGTTGCTCTCAGTCTGGGGCTGCACGGATGAGTGGGGTGGTGAGGTCCAAGCCCAGACGACGAGAGCTCTCTTAGCACACAGTTGGTTGCCCTTGTGGTGCTGGAGCACCACACACAAAGCAAGTGGTTCTTAACCTTTTTGTTTAGGTGTTGGGGTCGGGGGGATATCAAGATCTTTGAGAATCGGATCCAAAGGACTCTCTTCTCAGAAAAGCCCACCTGCCCACATATGACAAATTGTCCAGCTAATTGAAGAGAGTGGCCAGCTAAGGACTGCTCTACCCAAGGTTCAATACCTTCAAGAATGAACATAAGCCCTTTCCTAAGTGGGCTGATCATGCAACTACAGAAATCCAGAGGGACCGACCCGGTGTCCATGGTAGCACCCTCTCGGGCAGTGGGACTGTTGGGTGCAGGTGCACTTCATAAACACCGATGACCTCTAAAAGCATTAGCTGCCCAGGCCTCCCCTGAGTATTCTGACTTCATGGGGTGGAGACAAGCCCTCATCCATCTTCAGGGGATTCTAAAGAGCAGGCCCAGTTTAGCACGATTGTTCTGTGACCTCAAAATAGACAGGTCGGCCGTGCGCAGGCTGGACAGAGGCACCCCTGAGCAAGAGCCCTGGGGAGGGGGAGGGCCTGGTGCTCACGGGTCAGCTCCCGTGAGGATGGCGGGATGGTTTCTTGCACCTGCCTGCCCCATGCCACCTAACCCCCCGTGCCTGTCCTTGTCCTCCAGCTGCTCCCTACTGGTTGGATGAGCCCAAGAACCTTATCCTGGCTCCCGGTGAGGATGGCAGGCTGGTGTGTCGAGCCAATGGGAACCCTAAACCCACCGTCCAGTGGATGGTGAATGGGGAGCCTCTGCAGTGTAAGTAACCAGCCCTCATTCCCCCCACGCCTCTGCTCCTGTGCAGGGCTCCCGGCCCCCCTCAGTGAGGGCCAGCACTGGCTGCACTAGGAGAAGAGGAAAGGAGTAGTCCCTGATTGTGGCTTCGCAGTGGCCCACCTCTCAGGACATCTCAGGGGGCGGGAAGCTTGCCTCATCTTTGAGTGAGACAGCAGGAGGTCGGCAGCCTGGGGCCCTGGAACCCTGTGACTATGTTCCATGTTTAGGGGAGTTCTGCTTCCCAGAGTTGTCCTTAAATCTCTGCTTTTCTGCCCCTTCACCACCACCAAGCCCAGTTCAGAGTCTGAGGACTGTGGCTGCATCTCTGAGAGGCCGGGCTCTGAGAGAAGCTGGGGCTTGGACGGTGGAGAAGAATTCGGTCACTCATTGCTGGTTACTCAAGCCCCATTCCGCTGAGGGCAGAATAAGAGCCAGCCCGCGCGATAACGTGAAAGACTGTGGTTGGATGAGGAGGGACTCTCCCTGAAAGCAGAGGCACAGGTGCAGTCCTTGAGGGGGCACGGATTGCGGGAGACTTTTGTCCTGCCCCGATGGGTGGAGCAGCGACTCTGGATTGTTTCTGCCCAGTGGCTGTGATCAGATTTACCCATCATAGTCTCTCTGGTCGCATTTACTTTTCTAAGTGTCCTGTGGTTACTTTCTCTAAGGGCCAGCAGAAGCATAAGCAGTGATATTAACCCAAAGGGCAAAGAGGTAGAAAGAACTCAGAATGTAAGTCAAGAGCAGTTGTCGAAGTAGGGGGAGAGGCAGCGGGGCAGAGGGAGGGGAGGGTTGGGATGTGCTGCTCAGACAGGGGCTGTGTCAAGCACACTGCCAGCTGTCCAGCCCTTATCTCTCGATCTCAGACTTTAAAGGCGAGGAAGAATCGGTGCAGGAAATTGTCTGGGATCCCACGGCTAGGGAGTGTAAGGCAGGGTTGCCATGCAACCACAGCCCCCTCTGCCCCAGCTAGCACCAAACTTGTAGTTACCCCAGTAAATATTAGCCCTTGGCTACAAGCCGAGATGTGGACACTGCCTGCTGTCTGCCCGGCTCTGTCCTAATGGCACCTTGGGGGCAAGGCAGTCAATGATGCCAGACTTCACAGCTCCATCAAATAAATGCAGCCCAGCACTTGCAGCTGAGCCTGCCCTGGAAAGGCCGCTGTCACTCTCCCCAGGGGTCACCTAAGGGAGTGACTAGGAGGTTCCAGGCAGGGAGGCGCTTGAGTTGCTGGCATTGCCTTCCTCGGTGCGTTTTTGCTGAGTGGGGACCCAGGGAAGGATGATAAGGCTCGGCCTCGTCTCGTTTACCCTCTGCTGATTCTCAGTGCCAGGCAGGCACAGCGTTAGCTAGGGAGTGGCGCTCGCAGGGCCAGGCTCCTGGCTCCTTCCCTCTGCCGGCTTCCCTTGGAGGTCGAAGATCCTGAGTGAGTTCCTGGGTTCTGTAAACTAAGATTTCCACTTGAAGTTCAGAGGGCTTACGCAGAAAGTCATCTTCCCATGGGTAAAGATGAGAAGAGTGGCAATTCTTTACATTGCTGGACACTTTTATTTTTGCAATCCATCATCCCTCTCCTCTTAGAGTAGGAAAAAGACGAAGAGATGTGTTCTGATTTTATAGATGAAGGAAATCAGGCCCAGAAAGATTTCTTGATTTGGCCCAGGTCCCAGAGTCACATGGGGAAAGAGCCAGCACCCCTCAGCTGCTTCCCCATCTCTGCTCTCTGCACCGCGGGTCAGCAGGACTAGGAGAACTGAGTCTCCCTCATTTGGGATACTTTCTTGGGAAGACCTGAGAGCTTTGGCAAACACAGGACCTTCAGGTTTCCCTGGGTGTGGCTTCAGGAATGTCTGGAGAACGCTCTGCTCAGAGGAAGGGAAGAAGGCAGGCCCCATTCATTAGTATATTGCATGACCCATCTCAGAAGTCCTGTAAGCAAGCACAGCTTTGTGGATATTACTGACGCCCAGTTGAAGATTCCTGTCTCTGGATCCAAGTCGGAGGGCCATCTCTATGTCAGCTGGTCCAGAGACGCCCTTCTTCAAGAAGTTTTCCTTGAGGTTAAGGATGGTGAGCAGATTCCCATATTCAAGTCAGTGGGGAGAATGGTAATGAAGTAAACAGGGAGTAAAGGCGATCAGAAAGACCCAGCTTTCTCCAAACCCAGCCTCCCCGTGTCTCCACCACGTACCTGCCAGAAGTGACGCCGCCTGCAAGCCAGTTTTCCAGCCCCAGTGGATGACTGTATGTCCAATGTGCGACAATTTTGGTGCAAGTCCAGCTTGAACACAACAGATGCTATTGGTTTTTTTAATGGAATCAGAAAGAAACTTTATTTTACCTTTATAAGATAATTTATTTAAAAGTGTTCTGTATAAAATAGCAAACACAGGGACCATTGGGTGGCGTGGTGATTAGGGTGCTGGACACTCCCATGTGGCTGACCGCAGTTCAAGTCCCAGACCTGGCAGCTTGCATTCTCACTGTCTCTCTTGGGTCAAATTAAAATAAATGAATGAATAAATTAAATTAAATTTTTTAAAAACCAGCAAGCACAGAATAAAATAAAAGGAATTAGTTTTTTGTTTTTGTTTTTCATTTTATTTATTCATTCATTTATTTTTTAATTTGACAGAGAGAGACAGAGAGAGAGAAAATGAGAAAGCAAGCCATCAGGTCCGGGAGTCAAACCATGGTCAGCCATGTAGGAGTGTCCAGCGCGCCTTAACCACTACACTACCTGCTGGTCCCCAAAAGGAATCAATTTTAATTAATTATTAAAATTTTTAAAAGTCATGTAAAAATCAATTTTAATTAATTATTAAAATTTTAAAAAGTCATATGCACATCAAAATAATAGTAATAATGGTAATATGAAAAGATTTTAGAAAGTTTGTAGAAAATGGACTAAGGTTTATTTTGGTGCAAAAAATTTTTAATTCATGCATAATTTTTCATAGTATACATTTCCCATGAACTTTTTAACCTCCCTCCCAATCAGTATGTGCCAGACCTTTATAGTTGCATAAAATCTTGGGTTCTTTTCATGAAATTCCCACACGGTGGTATGTTACTCTCATTCAGATGAGGAAACTGAGACTTAGAGAGTGGAACATGCTGGAAGGTGATGTGGTTGGAATTCAAACCCCTTCTCGTTTTCAAGGCTTCTGCTTCCCACCCCTGCCCGGCTGTTGTGTAGGCCAAGCAGGAATTCCTGTTCCTCCCGACTGGACTGAGGAACAGACTCCAGGAGGCTCCATGATGGGCCCGGAAGCCAGGTGTCCCAGGGCCCACCGGTGCTGCTGCGTCCACAGTGCTGGAACCCCAAATCCCCTTCACCCTGATCCCCTTTCTCATGAGGAACATCTATCTTATCTGTAGCCGCACCACCCAACCCGAACCGCGAGGTGGCCGGCGACACCATCATCTTCCGGGACACCCAGATCAGCAGCAGGGCCGTGTACCAGTGCAACACCTCCAACGAGCACGGCTACCTGCTGGCCAACGCCTTCGTCAGCGTGCTGGGTGAGGCCACCCGCTCGCCCACAGTGCGGCCCCCCCGGGCTCGGCTGTGTCTTATTCTCCAGAATCACCCTGGTGGGGCGGAGTAAGGGGGTGGCAGGATTGGGGAGCACTGGAGATGAGACTGTGGGCAGGGTGGGGGGCTGACAGCCCACAGAGCTGGGCAGGCAGCAGGACTTCCAGCAGACGCCCGCCAGGAATTCCAGCAGAGGCCAGCCCTGAAACCTGGGGGCTAAGCACTGTGCAGAGGGAGCTGGATCTCACGTGGCCAATTGCAGTTCAAATCCTGACCCAGGATTCTAATGAGATGGAGAAATGGAGGGGGAAAAGGATTGCCGTATACACACACACACACGTATATAGCCATCAGAAAAGTCATGACATATTTTTCTATGTTTTCCTATGCAAAAATGCGTCTTGACTTTTCTGATGTATATATATACAAGAGAAGTCACTCTTGGCCCTCTCCCTTTCCTGCTG